TTCTCGCCCTTTTTCTGCCCCTCCCCGCCGCTTTGCCCGCGCCTTCCGCCCCGCCCCCCCCCCCCGCCCCCGCCCTCCCCCCCGCGCTCCCCCCCCCCGCCCCCCCCTCCGGGGGGCGTGGGGTGGTCCGTGGTTGCCTGCCGTGTTGCCCCGCTGGGTTTTGCGTGCTGTTTTGCCTGCTGTGCGGGCGGCCGCCTCTCTGCTGGCTTGGGGTCGTGCGTTCCCGCGGCTGGGTGCCGCCCCGGCGCCGGCTCTGTCGCCCCCCGCCTTGCGGTTGGTCCGCGTGGGGCGGGCCCGGCGGTTGGCCGTGGCCGCGCGGCGGGCGCGCGTGGGCGCGTGTCTGTGGCGGCGGTCCGTCCGGTCGGCTGGGGCCCGGTTCTGGCGGGCTTTGTCCGTCCTCCGGCGGCTCTTGTCCTGCCTTCTCTGGGGGCTGGGGCGCCCGTGGCGCTTGCTGCGGCCGGGTGTCCTGTGTTCCCGGCTTCGGGTGTGGGTGCGTCGCCGGGCGGCGGCGTTCTGGCTCTCTTGCCGTTTGTTGCGGCTTTTTGCCGGTGCCCCCTCGCGGCGGCTGTTGCCCTCGTCCCGCCGGGCGGTGCTGCCGGCGTGGCTGCGGGTTTCGGCCGCCGTGGGCGCGCGGGCTGGCCGTCGCCGGGCGCTGTTTTTGCGGTGGCCGCCGGCTGTCTTTGTGCTCTGTTTGCTGTCTCTGTTGTCGGCGCGGGTTTGGTCCCCTCTGCTGCCTCGGTTCCGGCTGTGCGGGGCGGTTTGCCCTGGGCCGCCGTCTCTGTTGCGGGTGCCGTTCTGGCTCGGTGTGGTGCGCTTTTTTTGTCCCCTTCTTCTTCTTTCCGCTTTCTCGCCGTTGCGTTTCCGGCCGTTCCGTTGGCGCCCGGCTTTTCTTTCCGTGCTGCCGTTTGTCCGGCTGGCGTGGGTCGCCGTGGCGCTGGCCTTGGTGGCGCTGCGCCGCTGGCTGTCGTCGGCCCCGCCGTGGCCTTGCCGTCCCTGCCGGCGGCTTCTGTGCCCCCGGGGCCGCCGGTCGCGCCTGCCGCGGCGGGGGCCGCGCCCTGCGCCTTGCGGGCCCCCTTGGGGTCGCGGCGCGGTGCGGGCTTTGCCGTTCTTGCTGTCGCTGCCCTGGTTTCTGTCCGCGCGGTCTGCCGTGCCCCCCGCGCGGGCCGTGCCGGTGCTGTTGCCGGTGGTTTCCCGCCGGGTGCGGCGGCTGGCGTGCTTGCTGGTGTCGCCGGCCGCGCTGCGGTCCCGGCGGCTGCGGCTGTTGCGGTTCCCCGCCTCGGCGGCGCGGCGCCGGTCCTTTGTCCTTTTGCGGCGTGCTGTTTCGGTCCTGTGGTTTGCGCGGCCTCCGGCTTGCCCCGTTTCCTCGCGGTTCTTCGCCGCGCGCTGCTGCTTCCGTTGTGCCGCTCCCGCGCGTTCCCGCCCTTTTGCCCGCCCGGGTCGGTTCGCGCTTGGTCTGCCGTTCTTCGGGTTGTCCGGGTTTCGTCCGGGTTTTTTCCGCCTCGGGGTGCTCGCCGCTCTTTTGCGGGCCGGTGGGCCGGTGCCCGCCGCCCGGGCGGCGTTGCTTGCTGTCGTGCTGCGTGCCGCGCGCGTCGGCCGGCCGGCCTTCCCCCCGCTGGCGGGGCTGGGGTCCCGGGTGCCGGTGGCCGTTTTCCTTCCTGTGCGGCGCTCCGCGCGGTCCGTCGGGGCGCCCGGGGCGCCCTGGGCCCGGGGTTGGCCGGCTCCGGGGGGGCCGGTGGCTTGCGGGCGCGCTGGTGTGGTCGTGGTTCCGCTGCTGTCCCTGTTGTCTCTTTTGCTTTGCCCCCCTTTGCGCCCCGCGCTGCCTTTGTCTCCTGTGCCTGCCTGCGTGGTGGTGTCCCGGGGGCTGCGGCGTTTGTTTCTTGTGGCGCCGCGTGTTTTGGGGTTTCCGGCGCCCGCGTGGCTTCCCTGCGCGTCGTCGGTGGTGCGGGCCTGGCCGCGG